TAAAATGTGGCATATTCACATGGTAGAATATTATTTAGTCATAATAAGGAATGAAGAAGGGACTGCGGGTAGCACGGTGGTACAGTGTGTGCTTACCATGTGCAAGGCCCTGGGTTTAATCACCAGCATTTAAAAAAAAAAAAAAGAAATGCAGTACTGATGCATGATATGTCACATACCACACTATGCAAAGTGAAATAAGCCAAGCACAAAAAGCTGCATATTGTATGATCTTATTTACATAAAAATGTTCAGATAGGCAAATCTATAGAGACAAAGTCGATTAATGGTTGTCAGGGGAGTGGGGAGTGACTGCTATTGAGTATAAGGTTTCATCTTGGAGAGATGAAGATGTTCTGGAATTAGTGGTAGAGGCTGCTTGACTTTGTAAATGTACTAAAATTTTATACTTGAAAGGGAGTGAGTCTGTGTTATGTGAATTATATCTCAATTTAACAAGGGGAAAGATATTAAAACTGCATCATAAAGAGTATGCTTGTTGGATAGATAACAGTGGGAAGAGAATTTTAGGCAGAAAGAATGGAATGAGAAAAAAGATGGATGCCACAATAAAGCAATGCACCTTCAGTAAAGGGAGAATGACTCCAAGACTGGAGCACGGGGAACACAGAGAGGAGGGGAAAAAACAAAGCTAACTAGGTAGAGACGGAACAAATAATAAAAGCACTATATATAAGCCAGTGAAGGAGGAGACCATGGGATACCTTGGTCTCCTCTCAGGACAAAGACCTAACTGCATTGCCGGACTCATTCCATCTTGTCAAGAAAGCCTTCTTTCATCAACTCAGAATCATCTAGCGACTACTCAATTTTGAAGCCCCATTCTCATTTTCTCACCACTTATAAAACGCATCTATTTACATCATTGTGAGTTTGCTTCCCAGCGGAGTACACACGCCTAGAGGGCAGATTGCTTCCAACCTTGATCATGCTGGTCCAGGAACACAGTACTCTGTGGAATTACTAAGATGTTTCATGAGACTGGCAATTTTAATAAAACTGAGTTTCCTGACTTCACAAACCATTACTCATATGGCCACCCTAATGGAACGCCTGCCTAACCAAATTCATTCAAATCCTTGCCCTCTTTTATTCCAATGCCACTTGCTTGCAAAGGCTTTTCTTGCTCACCCACCTGGGTATAAACTCTCCCCTTTTTGAAATTCTGTACTTTTCTTACAGTACTGATTCCACCATGCCTTGTACTGCAGTTTTTTGGACATTACTCTCAACACAAGCATTACTCCTTGCGTACCAGAACCTATACACCTTGAAATAATGTCTATGCCTTTCCTGACTTCCTTGCAACTCCCAGCACTGTGCTAGGTACAGTCTAAGCTGAACTGTTCAACCTGAAAGAGGAATGATGAAATCAGAGACAGAAATAATCATGGTCACAAAAGTGTTTAAAAATCCTAGAGGAAACTACACGAAATGGGATGCAGGCACAAATAATGGAGTGTGTATTTTGAATCAATTTGTGACCACTTGGTGTGTTTATTTTCATCACATGGATTTCATTTTGCTACAATTCCAGAAGATCAGACAAAAGGTAATGACCTTGCAGCTGCTGTGTTCCCAAGTCTGAGGTTTTCTATAATATAAACAAAAGGTTCTGGAGGTATGGTCTCTGTTAATACTTGCCAGTGTGGGTCTGGGGGAGAAATGGATGGTGGGGTAGGAGGCAGCTGGAGGGAAATCCACCTAATGAACTGACAGTTCATATAAGCAACACCTGGAGTGTTAAACCCCCTCCAAGTGTTATTTTACAAAAAATACCCCAAACAACACCCCCCCCACACACACACTCTTCCTTTGGTAAATGTAAAAATTCTTCCACCAGCTGCATTCTAGGCTGAAATGTGTGGCAGTTCAGGAGTGATGGCAGCTGGAAAAGATCTCATTCAGGATGTAGTGACCACTCACCAGCAGCTATACTAGCAGCCAGGGGATAACTGGAGCCTACAAAATGAATCCTTATAGCCATATTCCTTTAAGGAAATGGATTAGCCTCAATCTGCCTGCTCAAAGTGCTCTGCTTGTAAACACTGAGGATACTGAAAATACTTATCAGCATCTGATTGGTGAAAGGATCAGCTTTTCAAATAGAAACTTTGTGACATCAACTTTTTCACAACTTCCCATTTCATCCTTTTTTTTTTTTTAACAGAGAGCTAGAATTTACCTTTATTTATTCATTTATTTATGATGCTGAGGATCAAACCCAGTGCCTCACACATGCCAGGGAAGCGCTCTACCACTGAGATATCGCCCAAGCCCCCACTCTTTAAAACTTTTCTAAAGACCATGTTTTGCTTTTAGTTCTATTATTGTTAAATTTTTTTAAAAAAAATTTTGTTTTAATTAGTTATACATGACAGTAGAATGCATTTATGCACTTTGATATATCATACATAGATAGGATATAATTTCTCATTTTTTTGAGTGCACATGTTGCAGAATCATATTGATCATGTAGTCACATATATACATCCAGTAATAATGTCTGTTTCATTCTACTATCTTTCCTATTCCCACATCCTCTCCTCTTCCCTCCCATCATTTCCCTCTATCTAATCTATGGTAATGCTATTCTTCCCTAGTGCCCCCCACCTTATTGTGATTTAGTATCTGCATATTAGAGAAAACATTTGGCCTTTGGTTTTGTGGGATTGGCTTATTTTGCTTAGCATGATACTCTCCAACTCCAACCATTTACTGGAAAATGCCATAATTTTACTCTTCTTTAAAGCTGAGTAATATTCCATTGAGTATATATACCACATTTTCTTTATCTATTCATCTATTGAGGGACACCTAGGTTGGTTCCATAGTCTAGCTATTGTGAATTGAGCGGTTATAAACAATGATGTGGCTGCATCACTAGAGTATGCTGATTTTAAGTCCTTTGGGTATAAACCAAAAAGGGGGATAGGTCAAACGGTGGGTCCATTCCCAATTTTCTGAGGAATCTCCACCCTAATTTCCATAGTGGTTGCACCAATCTGCAGTCCCACCAGCAATGTATGAGCGTATCTTTTTCACCACATCCTCGCCAACATTTATTGTTGCCTGTGTTCTTGATGATTACCATTCTAACAGTAGTCATATGAAATCTTACAGTAGTTTTGATTTGCATTTTTCTAATTGCTAGAGATGTTGAACATTTTTTCATGTATTTGTTGATCAATTGTATTTCTTCTGTGAAGTGTCCGGTTCCTTAGCCCATTTATTGATTAAGTTATTTGTTTTTTGGTGTTAAGTTTTTTGAGTTCTTTATAGATCCTAGAGATTAATGCTTTTTCGAGGTGCATGTGGTAAAGATTTTCTCCCAATCTGTAGGCTCTCTCCTCACTCTACTAATTGTTTCCTTTGCTGAGAAAAAGCTTTTTAATTTGAATCCATCCCATTTATTAATTCTTGTTTTACTTCTTGTGCTTAGGAGTCTTGTTAAGGAAGTCAGATCCTAGGCTGACATGGTGAAGGTTTGGGCCAATTTTTTCTTCTATTAGGTGCAGGGTCTCTGTTCTAGTGCCTAAGTCTTTGATCCACTTTGAGTAGATTTTTGTGCAGGGTGAGAGATAGAGGTTTAATTTCATTTTGCTACATTTGGATTTTCAGTTTTGCTAGAATCATTTGTTGAATAGGCCATCTTTTCTCCAGTGAACGTTTTTGGCTGTTAAATATTGATAATTACTGCAAAGCCAGATTCAGGCCAAATGTCTGCTTCCAGAACCTTGTGACATGGCCACTACTTCTGACAAGACAGAAGGAACTAACACTTATTGAGCACTTGCCATATAACAGGCACCAGGCCTGGCACCCTCTTCTTATTTCATCCTTACAACAACTCTAGGAGGCAGACAGCCACATTTCACATACAGAGCAGTTAGCGGGTCCAGACAGGGTAAGTCTTTCACTCAGGAGCCTCAAAGGAAAAACTGGAAGAGTTAGATTTGTCTGACTCCAAAGTCAGGGTTCCTTCTATTGCTCTCTGCCACAACTACAGGATAATATGAGCCAGGGAAGTTCTTCCTTCAGAATTTGCAAAAATGCTACAAGAGCCCGTGATTCTAGAATAGGCATTGGTAAACTTTTACCAAGTGGCTTAATAGTAAATATTTCAGCTTTGTGGGTTTTATGGTCTCCATTGCAATTACTCAATTCTATAGTAGTAGTACAACAGCAGCCATATATAGTTTATAAGTGAATGGTATGGCTATATTCCAATAAAACTTCATTTACTAAAACAGGTAGCAGGCCAGATTTGGCCTACAGGCTACAGTTTGCCAACCTCTGCTCTACAAGGTTATAGTTGAATAATTATTTGGGCTTAAAATCAATAAAGAATGACCTACTTTTAATTTACTCAAGAAGCATGAGAGTTTTCTACACTAGACAATATGGGAGACAAAGGATGGTATAAGACATGATCCATACACTTAAGGAATGTACAGCCTTTTGACAGAGAAAAGCCAAAAATAAGAACATGAGATAACATGTGGTAAGTGCCAAAGGAGGACCAAGGGCTGACTGATGGATCAGTAGGATACTAGGAAATGAAGAGTCCACAATTGGATTGAATAATCTTGCACCTGGGCTCAGAAAGAGTCAGAAAAACCTCTTAGTGGGCAAGAATGAAGAATAAGTCAGAAGTTACTGCTTTAAACACTTAAAAAATACCCATTCTGGTGAGACCACATTAAGGTTTTCAGCACAAGTCAGATGCTAATCAAAGACAATACTGATTTTTGTCTCACCAAGCACTTTAGCTCCCTGTCTCATCCTCAAAGGACAAGCAATGGCCTAAGGTACAAGATGAAGTGAGCACTTTTGGGAACCTGAGAGGTCTTTCCATTTTCCTCTCTGCTGATACTTTAAGCACTGAAGTGTCTGAAAGGAGCTGAAGGCAAAGGCCAGCAGAAACCACCTTGGTCACTCTTGGAAGTCTAGTAATAAGCCAGTTCTTAAAACCTTACCTTGCTCATGGCAGTCAAGGCAGGATCGCAGGCTGCATCTAGATCCTGAACCAGCAACTGAATACTGCTGGAGATGACACTGCAAATCAAATCACTGTGGTCAATATTTTTAAAAACCACTGTTTGAATGACTGACACAGGCCCTTCCAAATATTTTAGTCACCTGTGTAAAATTTATTTTCATTTCCCCAAACTAAAGTTTTAATGAATGACCATGAAGGAGCAGTTAGCTGTTCTTGGCTTGGACTCTTGGAGTCCACCCTCAACTCCGTCTTCAACAGATACAGACACACACACACACACACACACACACACACACAGGCAAACTCTCAGACTGCTCTTATTTGGGTGGGTCCCCACCCAGTCAAGACCTAAACTTCTATAGGTAGGCCCCTGAACTGTCATCTCCAAAACCTTCTTTGAGTTCTTTTCCAAGAGTAACTGTTTTATAGAGCTTGTAAGGTCAGGGAAAAAAGGAGAATTTTGATTTTTTTCCTCAATAAATGGTTAAGTGAAAGCTAAAGTTTGGTCCACCCTCGTTCTAGTTAAAGGCAGTGGAACAGGAACTGATAATAACAAAAATATTGCAAAGTCATAACAAGGAGAGAAATATCCTAAGAAGGTTTTGCTATTTGAACTTCTTGGATAGAGTCCACCCTTGGCCCCCTCAAACACACACACACACACACACACACACACACACACTCTCTCTCTCTCTCTCCCTCCCTCCCTCCCTCCCTCCCTCCCTCCCTCTCCCCCAGCACTCCCACTCCCGATGGCTAAAAGCTGGCAGTTTATGCTTTGTAATATACAACACAGTCTGGGGTTGTAGCTCAGTAGTATAGCACTTGCCCAGCATGTGTGAAGCCCTGCACTGCAAAATAAGAAAGCAAAAAAGATGGTCAGGCATAGAGGCTCATGCCCATGCCCACAGTGGTACATGCTTTTGTCCCAGAGTGCTGGGGAGGCTGAGGAAGAAGATGATTTGAGCCTGGCTTGGGCAACATAGCAAAACTTTGTCTCAAAACCAGAAAATAAATAAACAGATTAAAAACTCCCTAAAACACAGGAGGATGCAGGTGGAGACAGAGGGAAAAGAGGGAAAGCCTAGAACTAGAACTTCCTATAGGGATAGCCAAGGGAGGATTTCTTCTCTTGGGTTATTCTAGATAGTGCAATGATAAAGAACAGTTAGCTAAAAGAACAACTGCCTCTTAATTTTAATGCTTCTTCTTGATGGCTAATGGAGAACAGAATGGAAATAATCCCTATCCAGCAGAAGGCCCTGGAAACCTTTTAGGTTTTGAAGTGACTATAGCCAACATCCTGACACATGCTGCCCCATGAAGGAGAAAGGACAAGCCCCAAGCAAACTTGTGTGAGGTACATACGTGCTGAATGTGTCCATTTCTCCCGTGAGATTGATTCGTTCAGTCAGACTTACATCAACTTTTTCTTTGAGTTTTTCTTCTAACTGTTAGAAAAAGAGAAACAGAAATATGTTTAATGATTATCAAAGGAGTACCATAATAATAATAACGTTTACTAAGTTTGATGGATCAGGTACAATTCTAGACACTTTCAATGATCCTTATTTAATTCTCTCAATCCTGTAAGGAAGATTCTATTATTATCCTCATCTTCCAGGTGAGAAATTAAGATTAGCTTATCCCAGACAGTAAGCAGTAGGGCCAGAAAATAAACTTCTTCAGAATCAGTGTTGTACTTTTTCTTATCACACACCAAACATTTATAGTTAATCTTGAAAAGACCCTGATTTTTAAGATATTCCCTGCCTCATGAACTTCAGACTTGCCCACCAACACTGGAAACCTTTGCTGATGAGTGGTAGTAAAATGAGTTAATCAGTTATATTATTTATTGAGCATTACTATGAGTCAACCAGCTTGCTGAGATGTTGGAGACACAGTGATAAACCAAAGAAACACGTTAGCATATGGCCTAAGACAGAAACACATGCTCCTGCAGCCTCAAAGAAAAAAATGATTGACCAGGAACTGTAAATATCCCTGGGAATTGATTCATCTAGCAATCCTAGTCCTACCACAGTCTAAGAATGAATATTTTGTGTTCAATTAAAAAGAAATTTTTTTTAGTTGTAGATGGGACAAAATACCTTAATTTATTTATTTTTATGTGGTGCTAAGGATTGAACCTGGTGCCTCACAGATACTAGGCAAGTGCTCTACCACTGAGCCACAACCCCAGCCCTTGTTTTAAATTTTAAAATGCTCTTATAATCCAGGCACAATGGCACATGCCTATAATCTCATTGGCTCAGGAGGATAAGGCAGGAGGATCACAGGTTCAAGGACAGCCTCAGCAAGTTAAGGAGGCCCTGAAAGAACTGGGGATGTAGCTCAGTGGTAAAACACCCTGGGTTCAATTCCCAGTACCTAAATAAATAAATATTAGATAAATTTAAAAAAATCCTCCTGGAGATGTGTAAATTAGTGTAATTTTTTTTTGGGGGGGGGTGGGTACCAGGGCTTGAACCTAAGGGTAATTAACCACTGAGCTACATCCCAAGCCCTTTTTTTTATTATTTTTAATTTTGAGACAGGGTCTCACTTAAGTTGCTTAGGCAAAGCTTTGCTTAATTGCTGAGGCTGGCTTTGAACTTGTGATCCTCCTGCCTTAGCTTCCCTAGCCACTGGGATTACAGGTGTGCACTACTGTACCCAGCTAGTATAATCTTTTTGAAAGGCTATTTATTTAAAAAGCTAAACTTTAAATACATGAAGTCCCTAATATGGTAATTTCCCATCTAGAAATGTAGTTTAATGGAATAATGAAAATAATGTACAGAGATATGCAAGTACTCCTTGCAGAATTTATTAACTCAACCAACAGTTATCAAAAGCCTATTTTGTGCCAGACTAACAGAGTAAGGGAGTTATTCAGTGAACAAAACAGGTAAGATCCTGTTCTTGTGAAGCTCACATTCTACAGTTGGCAAATGTGGAAACCATTTACATTTACATATACAAAGGGCTGATGAAACAAATGGGGGCACAGGCTTATCATGCTTAAAATCTTCAATATCCCTTCCTATTACACTGAAAATAAAATTCAACCTTCCAACCATGATTTGCATCGCATCTAGCTCTCTCGCCCCGACTTGCCTGTTAGCCTCCAGAGCACTGGCCTTTGAGGTCTGTAGGACACACTGGGGATTCTTCTTTTTAATATTTTTTTAGTTATACATTGACACAATATCTTTATTTTGTTTATTTATTTTTATGTGGTGCTGAGGATCGAACCCAGGGTCTCTCACGTGCTCTCACGTGCGATGCAAGCGCTCTACCACTGAGCCACAACCCCAGCCCCATACACGGGGGATTCTCCTTCAGGACCTTTGTACTCCACATTTCTACTTCTCTCAGAAGTGCTTCCTGTTCGCGCCTCCCAACCAGCTCCATTGCTTTGCTACACTCTCACTTCCCAACTCTTCAAAGTTCTCCCTTGGCAGTTTCCTCCTGTAAATATCACTTCTTGGGAGAAGTCCTCCATGACTACCCTCCTTTTCAGGCAACTCTCTTCCTCCAGCACTGCAATGTTTGTTTTCTTCCTAACACCAATGGAAGTTAAATCTTGGCTTATTTATTTATTGGACATCCCATCTCCAATTAGTTCTGTTCCCTGGAAGAAAGAAACTTGTCTACCCTGTTCACCATCCTTAATAAACACCAGATGTAGTGCCTAGGACATAATAAGTGCTTAATAAATATCTCTAGATAAAGAATGAAAGAATGAATGAAACACTGTATGCCATTGTTTAAAAAAAAAAAAAAGCTGAGGTAATACTGATATGGAAACATGTCCATGATTTAAACACAAAGCAATGTTGCCTTGTGGTAGAATAGCAATGTAGAGTGTGGCCTCATTTCTATTTAAAAAGATACAACAAAAATGTTTAAAAGGATATACACTACTTAAATAGATAACAGTGGTTGCTTTGAGGGGGTGAGATTATGGGGAAATTTCATCCTTATGTATATGATTTTATAATATTTGAAACTTTTTGTTGCTTTAAAGATCTGTTTAATAGGGAATATTTCAAACATTTACAAAAATCACAGAACAGGATAATGCACCAAAGCACCTATCAGCCAGCATCACCAAATTGTCATCACATGGCCAGTCTTGTTTTGTTTATATGCTTACCTACTCTCCCATTTCTTGAATTATTCTGAAGCAAATCTTAAGTATTCTGTCACTGCATCTGCAAATATTTCAATATGTATCTCTAAGAAAGATAAGACTCAGCAAAAAAAAAAAATTCCTTTAATATCAAACACCGAATATCACCCCGTGTGGTGGTGCGCACCTGTAATCCCAGTGACTTGGGAGGCTGAGGCAGGGACAGGAGGATCGCAAGTTTGAGGCTAACTTTGGCAACTTAGTGAGACCCTGTCTCAAAATGAAAAATAAAAAGTACTGGGGATGTGGCTCAGTGGTAAAACACTCCTGCCACTGGTTTAATACCCAGTACCACCCAAACAAAACAAGACAAAAAATACACCACATATCTAGTTATGTTCATATTTCTTTCATTGTTTTAAAAATGTTAAAATAACTTGTTTGAATCAGTATCTAATCAAGGTCATAGGGGGCAAGTGATTTATATGCCTCTTTTAAAAATGAAATATAGTCAAAATATAAAAAATACATACATCTTTGTGTTTAACTAGATACATTCTGATAATCATATACCCCTCTGTAATCACCTCTAGTAACAACACACAGGACACTTCCATTCCCCCAGAAAGTTACCTTATGATGCTTTGTTCACTTCCCCCCCTCCATAATCTTATTTCCATCAGCACAGATGAGTTTTGCTTATATCTGAATAAATCTTAATAAGAATCATATAGCATGCGCTCTCTGACGTTAGCTTCTTTTGTCTGACATATGTATTGAAGTCATCCACTGTGGTTGGGTGTACTAGCAGCTTGTCCATTTTATGGTCGAGTAATAGCCCATTATATGTTCATCTGTTCTCTTTATCTATTGAAAGACACTTGGAGTGCTTCTAATTTTGAGCTACTGTAACCACCCCTGTATGCATCTTTCTGTGGTTATGTTTTCATTTACACTGGGTAAATACCTGGGAATGGCAACACTGAGTCATAATGCTTTATAAGACACTGTCAAACTGTTTTCTAAAATGGCTATATCTCCCTGTGGCCAATGTTTTCTTCCCCAGCACATTAAGTCATGTGTATGGGATAGTGGAGCACTTGATGATTAGGGATTTTGTCAGTGTGTATTTTGGAGAGTGAAAGGTTCGCAACTGACTAGTATCCAAAAGAACTTGTTTGAGGAATGGCAGGCAAGGTGTGATAATGCATGACTGTAAGTTTTCAATCTGGGACCTTAGGGAAAAAATCAAATGGCTATACATATTCTTTTATATTCTGATTATGCGAATTCCAGCTGTTCCATTTGTTGCCCATATTTGACATTGTCTTTTTGACTTTTAGCCATTCTAATAGCTATTTTGCCCTTTCCTACTAATTAATGATGCTGAACACTTTTTCTTTGCTTATTTTACATTTATATATCTTCTTTTGTGAAATGTTTTGCCCATTTACATGGGTTGTTTGCCTTTTTATTGGTGATATTAGGTGCTCTTTGTGTATCCTATATTTTTCCAAGTCTGTAGCTCGTCTATTTTCTTAATGGAGTCCTTTGATAAGCAGAAAATTTTAATTTTGATGAAGGCCAATGTATAAAAAAAATTCCCTTTTCTGGTTAGTATCCTGACCAAGCAATCTTTGTCTACCCAAGGTTGTGAAGATCTTTTCCTGTTTTTCTTGTAGAAGCTTTGTGATTCTGAGCTTTACATTTAAGTCTATGATATGTATATGTGTGTGTGTGTGTGTGTGTGTGTGTGTGTTTGTTTGTTTCTTGGAATTGAACTCAGGGGTAATCTCAACTGAGATACAATCCCTAGCCCTTTTTATTTTAATTTTGTTTTACTTTTAATTTTTTCTTTCTATTTTTATTTTGAGACAGGAGCTCACTCAGTTGTCCAGGCTAGCTTCCAACTTGTGATCCTCCTCCCTTAGTCTCCTGCATTGCTGAGATTACAGACATGCACCACTGCACCTGGTCTCTGATCCATCTTTTCTTTTTAATATATTTTTTTAGTTGTAGATGGACACAATACCTTTATTTAATTTATTTATTTATATGTGGTGCTGAGGATCGAACCCAGTGACTCACATGTACTAGGCAGGTACTCTACCATTGAGCCACAGTCCCAGCCCCTCTTATCCATCTTGAATTAAGTTTTGTGCATGGTATGAGGAAGGAGTTCAGGCTGTTGTACATATTTAAAATCTGCTGAACCAAGATGGGCATGGTGATGCATGTCCGAATAGCCATGATTTTTAGAAAGAGTTTCCTTTCTCTATTTAATTGACTTGGCACCTTTGTAGAAAATCATTTGGTCATATACATGTAGGTCCATTTCTAAACTCATTCTGTTCCACCAATTTATTTGTCTATACTTATACCACTCTGACACTGCCTTGATTACTGTAGCTTTGTAGTAAGTTTGGTGCTAGATGCTGAGGATTGAACCAAGGGCCTCATACTTACTTGGCCAGGATTCTCCATTCCCCTGAACTACACCCACAGCGATATATAGTAAATCTTGAAATCACATAATAATACATCCAATTATTTTCTTCTTTTTCAATATTGTCTAGTTCTCTATAAACTTTTCTTGACCATATCTTTAAAATAGCTTCCTGAAATTTTTTAAAAAACATATATTCTTAAAAAAAAATATATATATATGTGTATATATATATATATATATATTTATATATATATATATATATATTTGTAGTTGGGCACAATACCTTTATTTTATTTATTTATTTTTACGTGGTGCTGAAGATTAAACCCAGCACCTTGCATGTGGTAGGCAAGGCTCTACCCTTGAGCCACAACCACAACCCAGCCTCCTGGGATTTTGATAGGGAACTGTGCTAAGCTATATTCCCTAGGTATCTGATATTTTAAGTGGCTATTGTAAGTACTATTTTTAAAAATAAATTATCCTGGACTGGGGAATGTGGCTCAAGCGGCAGCGCGCTCGCCTGGCATGCATGCGGCCTGGGTTCGATCCTCAGCACCACATACAAACAAAGACGTTGTGTCTGCTGAAAACTAATATATATATATATATATATATATATATATATATATATATATATATATAAATAAAAATTCTCTCTCTTTAAAAAAATATAAATAAATAAATTATCCTTTTTAGGATAGTTTTAGATTTATAGAACAATTGGAAAAATAGTTCAGAGAGTTCCCATATACCACATACCCATTTTCCCACATTATGGACATTAGGCCTACCCTAAATCCAAGATGATCTCATCTTGAGGTACTTAATTACATTTGCAAAGACCATAATTTCCACATAAGACCACATTTCTAGGTAAGGGAGAGGTTAGGACTTTTGATACTAGTTCTTGATACTTCTCCTGCTTTTTTTTTTTTTTTTTTTGGTACCAGGGATTGAACCCAGGGACTCTTAACCACTGAGCCCTTTTTTACTTTTTAATTTTGAGACAGGGTCTTATTAAGTTGCTTAAGGCCTCAAAAAATTGCCAAGGCTGGCCTTGAACTTGCAATCCTCCTGCCTCAGACTCCCAAGCTGTTGGGATTACAGGCAAGCACCACCAGACTCAACTTCTTGCTTTTTTTTTAATGACATGCTATCTCAGGTTCATCTGCTCATCTTACACATTTCTTGCTCCAGACATGGAATTAGTCATTTATCCATAAATCTCTCATTTCTTTTAGTGGAAAATGGTATTTAGAGATCAAGGCAGCTAAGAATGTATTTATTTTTATAAACAATTTTCACTAAATTATAAAAAAAAAAGCTACACATACCATGAGTCATCAAAATGGTTTCTGATCTACTAATACTTCTAGAATTTTGAAGATTATTCTAGAAAAATAATGTGAAACATTTAAAATACTGTATTCTAAAAGATATTCTTAGGATTATTTATAATTTGATGTAGTAAAAACAATTATTAAGGATACTGTTAAATAATTCATGATATAGCCCCTTAATGGAATGTTATATAGCCATAAAAGATGCTAGTAACAAAGACATTTTAGTAATAAGACAAATGCTAATGCTATGACAGCAACAATAAAAGAATGTAAAAACTGAATTAAGATTATAATATACAAAACTGTTTATAAAAATGATTGAAAGACAATAACCCAAGTTGCTGATATGATTATTTGGGGGTATGGGACTGTAAGTAATAATTTTTACTATGTTTTTTCTTTTTTATTATGGTGATTTTATCTTTTTTTTTTTGAACTGAGGATTGAACCCAAAGATGCTTTACCAGTGAGCACACCCTGAGCCCTGTTTTTTTGTGATGTCAATAGCCAGTGATGTATAGCCCTTTTTGTTTTTTATTTTGAAGCAGGATTTCACTAAGTTGCCAAGGCTAGTCTCAAACACTGATCCTCCTGCCTCAGCCTCCAGAGGAACTGGGATTATAGGCATGCACCACTGTATTCAGCTTGGTTATTTTATTTTAAAAATAATGTCATTCTGTATGTGTAGGCTTTCTCTTTTGCACATATGCAAAATACTTAAATAGTGTTTCTTCATCAAAACTCTGGGACCCCTCCCTTGGAGGTCCTGGTAGATACTGACATCCTGCTCTGGGGTCCTGGGGGCTAAATGTATTGCTGACTCTGGCTTCAAGACCAAACTTTTGCAGGTCATTTCTATGCAACTCAATGTGACCGTTCTCTAAGCAGAATATGTTACTGCCTCTGCCTCTACTGCTGGCTGGCTGACTTCAACTCTGCAGTCCTCATAGAAACATTTCCTATTTGGCCTTCTGTATTTGTGCCCTGGATCACATAACATTTAGCTGTAATGTCTGAACTATCATCTATGACTATCTTCCCATGATCTAGACATGAGTAAATGATATACACAAGAATGGAAGAACAGAACCTTCCCATATTATTTTCTTTCTTTTAGACTTAGGTGGCTCCAAGAATAAATGAAAAAAAATAACTTCTAATCATCCCATGTCTAAGACTGAATGGAAATTTTCTCTGGGTCTTCTGCAAAATCAGTTTGCTGAACTTCTGCCACTTGGGGGGTTCCAGTAGAGGCATCACCCCTTCCTGCTTCACAGTTCCTGAACGTCAGCATCCAAACAATGGTTATTTGTTTTAGCAGATGCAGAATGCTATGTAAACTTCAGGAGACTCTCAAAAGCCCAAGGGAGTTCACTTAGTTTAATAAAGCTTCTGAGAATGGAATAACTGATTGCCACCAAATGTGGGGCCCACTACCATTAAGTTTGTTACTGTTTTTTTCATATGGGAGACAGTGCTACTGACCTACTTTTAAGAGTTCATGCTTGCTGAGTGGCTCATACTACTTAAGGGAGACCAGTCATACTTTCTTGCACAGTCTCCTTTTAACAAGGCCTTTCTGTAAGATGGCTCTCTCAGCAGTCTCCTGGCTGGATAGTAAGTTTTCCCCTGTGGGAGGCCAACTGGTCTGCCCAAGATTGAATGCGACCTTTTGGGGCTCATGCTCTTCATTCTCAGCTATGAGTCCAGGGAGTCCAGGAAAAGGAGGTGGTACATGGGCAGCAGGGATGGTTGGCTCACCTGCTGGGTGGTGGCCCAACAGTATTCTGCTGTGCTTAGTATGCTGCAGATGAGGCAGAGCTCCTCGAGAGTGAACTTGGCCACTTCTGAGCCCTCCTTTTCCTTGAGAAGGCTGCTGATGGTCAACCCTCCACTGCTGGTTGTGGTTCTGAAGAAAGGGAACAGACACTAGTCAGGTTTGAACTTCTAATTTGTTTCTTGAATGGAAACTACACATTTTAAGACAAAGAAAAAAGGGAAAGAAAGGCTGGCTATGGCCCAAACAAATCCACATACAATGAGTCCTTTTCCTACTGACCTTACCTTGACTATCATCTGTTTAGACACTCTGCACCATTAGGAGTAGGAAGAGACAATGCCAAGAGTGAGTCAGTAATCAGTCGTATTAATTATGACAAGCTGACACTTGCTGGGCTGCCTATCACTTTAGCTTTGAATTTCCTAATTCATAGAACTCATTTGGAATCACTGATAGCACAAAAGTTGCTACCCAACTGCTTCAACTAAGAAAATTCTGCACTGGAATTTAATAAAAGCTGTGTAGAGGGAGGAGTACATAAGTGAATAAGACACTGTTCCTTCCTGAAGCCCTTACTCAAGAGATCAAAAGGCAGCTCCCATCCTCTGTGATTACAGTTTTTGAGGGGCAGTCCCTCGTCCATATGAGATCTAAGGTAACAATAATTACCCACTCTTATGTGGATCTTTCAGAATCCTCTGCTGGTTCTTTTTGCCCTGCCCCATTTCTGTGAACAGTGTGTCTTTATAAACTAACAAAATTCCAGCTGAGTGTACCATTTGTTTCTTGCTGGGACACTGACTAAGACATATGGGAACATGCTCACAGGATATTAAGTGAAAGCTGCAGGGTATAAGACTATCAGTGACAGAGTCCCAATTCTATTACACTAACAAACCAAAGCACACATCTCACACATATATGTACACACACACACACACACGAATAAAGAATGGAAAAAATATACAAAAAGTCACACAGTGTTTCTTTGGGTGGTGAGGTTATAGGTGATTTTCATTTTCTTTCTTGTGCTTTTCTGTGCTTTCTATGCTATAATGAACTTGTGTTATCTTGATAATCAGGACAAAAGTTATTAAATTTTACAAATAATTTTTGTCATAGATAAAGACAAAGACCTTCTCATTTCTAAACTATACTCAACACTTAAAATATCCTGTGTAGCACAGGATTCTATTCTCTTTCTTCCAAATAACGTAAAACTCATTTGTGACACATATGAGTAACAATGATAGAAACTAATTCTCAAATTGTTGATTTACCTATGGGGATAGTTTGTAAATACTAAGTTCTGAAGCATTATATTAGGTCATGTTGCAGTAGAAATGGCTACATAATCAAAACATCTCTGAAATGGTAGTTCAATGATCCACATGTTTTAAGTAACAAACAATATAACAATCTTTTAATGTCTCAGAATATAGTGGGGTCACTGTAATCAGGAGCTGTGCTGTGTAATCCCCTCCTCACAAATCCTACCACATCTTTAAACATCAGACATCCAGCATAGCAAGATATACAAACAAGAGAGATTTTTGGGAACCTAATCAAGAAAGGGAAAAACTGGATGCATGCTCCCATCTATCACTGTAGGACATAATCACACTGAATGAGGCTTGAAAATAATTACCTGTGCTATTGAATAGTTATTTCCATCACCTCATTTTTTTTTTTTTGGTGGGGGGAGTAGCTATTGTTGAATCTATGTAAGTTAAATACTTATACATAATAGGACTGACTCCCTAGAGTCCACCATGGTATGATGTAACCTACACTGGCAGCCAGGGGGGCATCTCTGCTAATGGTCTTGATCAGCTTTGGAATGTCATCAGAAAGGAAACAGCATCAGATCCTTGGGGACTCAGTAAGAGTATTTTCCACCTTACTGCTCTTGGCAGTTCAGTAAACAACTACAGAATGGATTTCCTTAAAGATTCCCATATTTAGGAATATTCCAAATCTCACTTTATTGTTCTGACTGTGCAGAGCGGGACTCACTTGGGCAGGTTGCCAGAGAGAATTTTCCAGGCGTATTCTCGGAGGTACTTCTGGAAAATGGTTGTCAGGGCAATCATTGGCTCCCCAGTACTGAGCTGTGAGCACTGTACCATGCACTTCTTGTAGTAGACGAAGAGGTCAGCACAGCTGGGAAGCACAGCGCCCCCCTCATCAGTGTTGGGCTTAGGTGGCCCCTGGGCTTTGAAATCGGCCACAAACCTATCAATCAGCTCTCCAAGGTTTCTAGGAAGAAGAAACTAAAATGTTATTTCACTTCCAAAAAGATATAGCAAATGTGCTTGATTACAAAATGTACATAAATTGCTGCCTTAATTAATCATTCCTGATGTTTCTGAAATTTAAAATTGGGTTCATTTTTATCAGTCATCATTTACCACCATCATTCACCCTATAATAGGAATCATGATTAAATTAAATAACCATTAAAATAACAGCAGCAAGAGAGTTTGGCATCTATGTACTGCTTCAAACTTCTCAAAGCATTTCATGATCGCTTTTGATCCCAAACTCAGTGGCAGAACTGAGTTCATAAATCTACCATTTGAGTAAATATACTACTCCTACCACCATTTAGCACCATTCCCTTTTCCACAAATTAAAACCCCATGGATTAATGATAGTGATCACTTTCTAAACACTTATGATGTGCCAGATGTCATGGCAGTGCTTTATAAGTATCATCTCACTGAACTTCGTTTATTCTTCATAATAATCTTCTGAAGTAGGTAACAGTACTATCTTCCTTTTCAAAAAAGTTAGGTAAAGAGAAGTTAAGCACCTTGTTCAAGGTCATTTGCAAGAAAGTAGGGAAGCCATAGTTCAAAAGCAAGCAGTCTGCCTCCAAGCCTAATGTTTTTCAAGACTCTACTTCACAAAAAAGGTTATGATGTCAGCAGAGATTTAGACACCATCAACTTGAATGGGTCCACAGGATGGATGCCTAAACAAAGATAAACTTAAAAATAAACAGACAAAAACTAATGCTTTCCTTCTTCATTCAGTTTGTAATTTCTTCTTAGAACTTCTAGAATCAAGGATATATGAAACTCTTGGGAGAAGAATGGGTAGGAGCAGCTTCAGGCCAGCCCCAGGCCACAGTGGTGATAGTGGTTGCTATCTGTCTCCCCTTTCCCATTCAAGCATCCCTGAATTTGCCTCAATCACCCCAAGTCATCACCAGCTAGAATCCGGCAGGGCTATAACCACTGATCTCTATGAGGTTGTGCTATGTGGATAATGGGAGGCTGCCACTTTTTGACATGTGGCACCTTTTTAGGCAGCTGTCTAAAGCCAAAGGAATCCAGCTGTGTTTTTAAAATGTATTTATACAATAGGAAGAAAAAGACAAGAACCACACACAGCATCAATTAGCAGGAATAGGAAAAAAATGACATTTTACTCAAGTGATCTTGTTATTCAAAGTTTACTATATCCAGATGTGGCTACTCTGCCCTCAAAGAGATTCAAGCTTAGGCTAGGTCTTTGTCTGTAGTAACAGAAAGCAGAGAAGAACCTCATTAATTGACCTTGGAAAGTTCCATGATCACCACCCCACCCCACAACCTCTTCTTACCCTACTTTTCCATCTACCCTCCCACCTCTCTTCCATGGTTGACCTCCACTCTGGCCAGTCACCCTGGAGGTCCTCTGCTTCACCTCCTTCCCTGTCAACTGGGCCTCTGCCTATTGCCTCCCTGGCCAAAGCACACTCCTTCCACTTCAGCTTGGCTCAGGCCTCACTGTGCAATTCCAAGTCACAGCAATCCTCTCTGAACTGGAATTCCTGTCATTTGCCATTAGATTTTTTTTCTTTCTTTTTCTTGTGATCCTGGGAATCAAACCCAGGACCTCACATATGCCAGTCAAATGTCCTACCACTGAGCCATATCCCATGCCCTCCACTTAACTTTTTAACACTTTAGTTTCCAGTATAAGGATGCCAAATGGTCAAAAAACACACCAAGTTTCTCCCACCCTGAGACCATGGTGGGCAATGCTAATTAACAATGTCTTATTTTTACTGATCAACAGTATAATTCCAGAATCCTTGAGTCACCATTTTAGCCAGTCACTTCTCCTAAGTTGAAGCTGGTACAAAAAGTGAAAGCTGCTTGCTTTAAAGTAGTAGAATCCTGCATTTCATGTCTGTTATCATAAGCTCCCTATTAGTTGGGAGGATGTATATGTAGTAGCTCAACTTCCACATTTTGTTCCAAAGAGATAGGGATGAAATGGTGGGAAGGTGGACATGGGATGGGGCTGCTAAAGTGGAAAAGAACCTGTAACAGAAAGCAAAAGATTCTACTTGAGTCTGCTTAGGAGAGATTCGAATCTCTCCCTCAATGGTACCAACCAAAACAGGGGCCAGAGCTCTTAAGTGTTTTTACTTTAATCACTCATCTGTTCCTCTAAAAGCTGGAGACTTAACTCACCTACTTCCTATTTCACAGCCAACCTGATGAATAAGATTATAATTAATTATGATCATATAGCATAAAGAAAATTTATACATGAAAACCTCTAAAGATTGTTGTTTTGCTGAAAGTCCACTGAGTAACTTTTGACATTGCTCTCTAGTATATATGATAAATAGTCAAGGAAATCTTCCCTGCTCTGCCTTCTTTCACTCTCTGCATTAGCATGCTTTGATACCATACAAGACATCAGGAACTGAAGAGACCATTTTTCATAGAATAAGCAGTAAAAGCTACCCTAATGTGAATGGGTAAGGATCATTAGTTTTTTTTTTTAAGTATTTTTTTAGTTGTAGATGGACATAATACCTTTATTTTGTTTATTTAGTTTTATGTGGTGCTTGGGACTGAACCCAGGGCCTCATACAGCTAGGCAAGCGCTCTACCCCTGAGCTACAATACAACCCCATCCCAGGATCATTAGTTTTGAGTATATGATCCTATCCAGCCAAATACTGATTGAACCCCTTACTATGTGGAATGCCTGAAGGACTGTCAGAAGATATAAATGAATTCAACTTTAAGAAGAAAGGTTATCATTTCTTCTAGGCATCAAACATACCCTGAGTTTTAGCAAGATCTTCATGCAAGACTCATGGAGAAAGAGATGTCTGACACAATGACCTTCTGACTAGAATCACAAAGAGGTCTTTTTTATACCCTAAGACAACAACCCAGTAAGAGTTTACAAAGTGTCAAGTCCTGACCCAGGTGCTTATGGGTTAGGACAGTCCTTGCTATTAGACTTGAGAAATTAAGAACTTTGCACTTAGAATATTTAGATCTTAAGACAGTAACAAAATGCTAATTTTGCAGTACAGACAGTATGGACAATTTGATTTTGACAAAGAAAATAAGAGAAGGCTACAGAGTAAGTTTTGTAGCATATTCAGAGAGGGAAGTGAGCACAGCACATGTATATGAGGAAGAGGATGGGAAGGGGGAGATGAGAAAAGTCTGATCTTTAGTCAGACTTTTATACTCTTCTTCTGAATTACCACAGCAACCTACTCATACATTTTTACATTTTTCCCTTATTGCTGTGTACCACAATCTTTTTTTTTTGTCTGTCTCTTTTACTAGGCTACAAGCCTAGTCTGCACTGTGTTAAATGTTTTCTAAGTATAACCTTATTTAATCTTCCCAATAGCTTTGAGTAAAAGGCCTTATTATCCCCATTTTATAGATGTATAAACTAAGCCTGAGAATAGAAAATAATTTGTTCAAGGTCACAGAATTTATTGAAGTTGGAATCTGAACTTGGGTATGTCTGACTCCAAGCTCTATCCACTCTGTGATGATATGATTTCTGAACTATAAAGTGCTAGCAAACATATGGTATTACTGCTGTTATTTACTTTCTCCTCAGCTTGAAGAAACATACCATGGATGTGTGGTTTCTTTTACCCTCATCCCTGCAGCTTCAGTTTGTGTCCAAGAACTGTGTAAGTATTTGAGGTCATGTGAGATTATATTGGGGGCTCTACTAACAAATGAAATGTCCTAGAAGTAAAAACTATTGCAGAGTGGCATCAGTACAGGGATAGATTAAAACAAGTGTGTTGGGGGGACCATCTCACTGCCAACTGAACTTAACCATGAATGACCAAGCCAATTTCTTCTGATGGATCTGTAGTCAGCATTGTTAAAAATGATATTCTGATTAGAAAGTAAGGTGGGCAAAGATGCTAGTTAGAAAGGTGGCAAGAGAAGCAGGGAGTCAGCAAGGGTCAAGTAGCTTACAATCCCCAGAAAGTTACAGAACTGTTCATTCAAGGGTACTCACACTAATAGGCACCCCTTCCCCTTCTCTTTTTTGGGGGGCTAGGGATTTGGATATGGGGAGGCCAGAGAGGTTGGAGAACCAAGGTTTGGCTTGAGTAGGGCTGGGAGACAGTTTACATAAGGGAAAATGTAGTAAATAACTGAAGATGTTGGGAGCAAAGTTTCTCACTGTTGTCGAAGATAGTTACCATTGTGGGGTGGGGAGATTAAAGTAACTCCTGTGGTATTAAATTAGAATCAAAGGTATAGCATAAACTTGTGATTTTTAATAGATAAGTAGATAAAAAAGATGTGTATGTATATATAGATGCATGTAAGCAATGATACATACACAGCAATGAGCATACTGAATACTCAGAATGTGGTTCCTAAATATCACTTTCCACCAATACAACAAGAGATCACTGGATACACAGATAACCCAGGGTTGGCTATGAATGTATAAGATAAGTCTGGTAGATATTATTGTGCCAGAATGAAGGAAAATACTCAAAAAACTGACAGGGATAAGTTAAAAAAAATAAAAAGCCAGCTTGGAGAGGTTCCTTCTGGTCAAATTAGGGACAACTTAAGCATTAAGTAATAATAGATCCTGAAAAAGAAAAGGGACATGAATGAAAAACTTGGTAAGATTCAAATAAGGTCTGGAGATTAGTAAATGCTATTGTACCAACAATAACTTGTTAGTTTTAATCTCTGCTATTATTGTGCAAAATGTCAACATTAGGGGGTTGAGGGTAAAGAAAATATGGAAAATTTAAACAATTTAAAAATTTTTTGTAGGTATAAATTTATTCCAATATAAAGAAAATGGGGAAAAAGACAATAAAGTCTATATGTATTGAATAAAATAGGAATTCACGAGCCAGGCCAAAATAGATAAGTAAGGGAGAAATAAAAGCTTTTTCTTAAAGTAGAATGCTAACTAATGAGTGTAGAAGAAGTGATGGAAGTAAAATAGCA